TATCTATCTCTATATCTCTACTATCTATCTATATCTATCTATATCTATCTATATCTATCTCTATCTATCTCTATCTATATCTATCTATCTATCTATCTATATCTATCTTCTATCTACTATATCTATCTACTATCTATTATCTATCTATATCTATCTATATCTATCTATATCTATCTATCTATATATCTATCTATCTATCTATCTAATCATCTATCTATATTATCTATCTATCTATCTATCTATCTATCTATCTATCTATCATCTATCTATCTATCTATCTATCTATCTATCTATCTATCTACTATCTATATTCTATCTCTTATCTATATCTCTATATCTATATCTATTCATCTATCTATTCTATCTATATCTATCTATTATCTATATCTTATCTCTATCTATCTCTATCTCTATCTATCTATCTATCTATCTATATCTATATCTATTCTATCTATCTATCTATTCTATATATCTATCTATATCTATCTATCTATCTATCTATCTATCTATCTATCTATCTATCTATCTATCATCATCTATAATCTATCTCTATCTATTTCTATCTATATCTATCTATATCTATCTATCTATCTATCTATCTATCCTATCTATCTATCTCTATCTTATCTATCTATCTATCTATCTATCTATCTATCTATCTATTCTATCTACTATATCTATCATCTATCTATATCTATATCTATCATTCTATTATCTATCTATCTCTATCTATCTATAATCTCTTCTATCATATATATATATATCTATATCTACTATCTATCTATCATCTTATCTATCTATCTATATCTATCTATCATCTATATCTTATCTATCTACTATCTATCTATCTATCTATCTATCTATCTATATCTATCATCTATTATCTAATCTATCTATCTATATCTCTATCTATATCTAACTATATTATCATCTATCTATTATCTATATCTATATCTTATCATATCTATTATCTATCTATCTAATCTATCACCTCTATCTATCATCTATATATCTATCATCTATCTATCTATCTATTCTATCTATCTATCTATCTATCTATATCTATCTATATTATCTATCTATCTATCTATATTCTATCTATCTATCTATATTACATCTATCTATATCTATCTATCTATACTATCTATCTATCTAATACTATCTCTAGTTAATCTTATTCTGGTAATCTATCTATATCTATATATCTATCTATTCTATCTTACTATCTATCTATCTATCTATATCGTGATATCTATCTATCTATTCTATCTATCTATCTATCTACATCTATCTATCTATCTATATGCTATTCTATCTATATCTATCTATCTATCTAATCTATCTATCCTATCTATCCCTATCTATCTATCTATCTATCTTATCTATCTTATCTATATCTATCTATTCTATCTATCTATCTATCTATCTATATCTATCTATATCTATCTATCTATCTATCTATATCTATCTATCTATCTATATCTATCTATCTATCTATATCTATCTATCTATCTATATCTATCTATCTATCTATATCTATCTATCTATCTATCTATCTATCTATCTATCTATATCTATCCTATCTATATCTCTATCTATCTATCTATCTATCTATCTCTATCTATATCTATATTATCTATATCTACTCTTATCTATCTATATCTATCTATCTATATCTATATCTCTATCTATATATCTATCTATATATCTATCTATCTATCTCATCTCTATCTATCTATCTATCTATCTATCTATCTATATCATCTATCTATCTATCTACTATCTATCTATCTATCTATCTATCTATCTATCCTATCTCATCTATATATCTATCTATCTATCTATCTATCTATCTATCTATATCTATCTATCTATCTATCATCTAATCTATCTATCTATCTATCTATCTATCTATCTATCTATCTATCTATCTATCTATCTATCTATCTATCTATCTATCTATCTATCTATCTATCTATCTATCTATCTATCTATCTAATCTATATATAGATGTTTTTTTTCAGTAGAATTATAATGCAAGAAAATAAATTTTACTAAACTATTTGGTAGTATTTCAGTGTATTTTTGTTCATCAATTAGTTTTAAGCTATGATTTCTTTTTTTCAAAAAAAAAAAAATTTGTTTCAGAAACAAAAGTTTGAAAAAGTTTGTTAAGAAATGAAACTCGTTTCATTTCTATTAATTATTAGATAAAAATTGTTCTCTTTTATTTTTTTTTTTTAAATTAATAATCTAAAAATGAAATAAGAGAAAAAAGTTATATTAATATTTCAAATTTCAATGAATTTCACAAGCAATGTTTTTTTTTTCTGTTTTGAATTTCTATACAATGATAATTGTTTGATAACAGTAATTGATTTGTATTAATTATTCTTACCATTATGTTAAAAATAATGTTTTGAAAAAAAAATGCTTTGTTATAAAAAAATAAGAAAAAAAACTAAATAATAAATTTACTCACTGAATTGTGAAGAAACATATGTGAAAAGCGAAAATTTTTCTTTTTTCTTTCCTTTTTACTTTTTATTTTTGTTTAAAAGTCTTTCATATTACCACCAGTTCCTTTCTGCATTATTCTAATAAAGAAAATATAAAAACAAAATGAGGTATATCCCAGTTATTTCAAGCTATAAATGATTTCTTCTTTCTTCATTTATTTTAAATTTCATTTTCTCTGTTGATGATTTCTTCGTGTTCAGATTTTTATAATTTCAAAAATAATTTGTGAATTTTTGCAAGATTTACAAATTATCCATTTTATCGTTTTTTAATTCGTTACTTGCTGAAAGCTTAATTTGAAATTGAAATTTTATAAGAAGAAGAAGATAAATGGGTTATTTCGATAATTTATGATGAAAGATTTATTAGATTTACAGTGTAAATTTACAATCTAATGTTTTGATATTATATATTACAATATTAAAAAAGAATTCATGCTTAATAATTTACTGTCAATCATTCTATCTTACTTTTACTTTGTTGAATGTCCCTTATTAAGAAAATAATCATTGCAAAATTTTCATTTTTTTTTTTCTTTTTTGAATTATTATATTATTTGGATTTCTTATGAAGCTTTTCTATCGGGAAAATATTTTTTTCCCAGAGAATTTTTTTGAAATGTGATGACTCATGACAATTTGTTTCCTTTTTTTATTGATTAAACATCGAAAGTATTAAAATTTCCATTCTCTAACTATTGTCACTATTACAACAAATTTTGATGAATTTTGTGATCTGAAATGTCTAAACAATTCACTTTCATATAATTCAATAATAAAAGGAATGATGAAAAAAAATTAGGGAAAATTAAGAGGTGATCAGGTTTTAAGAGAAAGAATTAGAAGAAATTCAAAAAGTTTTTTATGTTTATTAAAAACTGATATTAGAAAATAATGCCTAGAAAGCATTAATTAACATTTATTAATCCATTCAATATACTTTACTAGAAAAAAGTAAAAGCTGAAATAAAAAGATCAAAAAAAAAAACACCAAAGCTCATATAAATACTAATTAATTTTGCTATTGTTATGCTCTCAAAATCATTTCAGGAAAACTTTTTTATCACTAGCATGCACTTAGGAATTTTGGATTTCTTTTTCCCTATTTTCCTCTTCTTTTTCTTCATAACGTCATCTTTTTTGAATGTTTTTTTACATCCTCCCAATTTTTAATGCAGAATTGCAAAATTGTCAAATCAGAGAAAGTGGAAGAGATCTCGTCAACTTAGTTAATTCAACCATATTTCATCATTCATTTGAAATTTTGCTAATTTTTATGGCATTCAGAATGATCTTTTCTCATTTTAATTGTAATAAATAGTAAAAAAAAAAAAACAATGACTAAAATGCTGAAATATATGATATGTCGAACAAATTTTTGTTGATGTTGATAAAAACTTCTTGTCTTTCTATATCATCTCAGCTGTAAGCTTTTTGTTACAAAATTTCAAATTTCAAATTCAACTTCATCATGCAATTTGAACATGCTATGCAATTAAAAGCTTCAACAACATTTTTAATTTCTATTTACTGAATTAATTAATATCCATTGAACTGATTAATGAGTGATTTAACTAACAAAAACATAACAAACATATCATTATGCTTCATCACATTTGCCCTCACATTTTTTCTTTTTTTTTGAATGATTAATAAATTGGATTTGAAGCATTCATTTATTAATTTAATGGTAACATAACTGAAAATTTCGTCATGAAACAGCATTTGCGTGATTTGTTAAATTATTATAATATATTGGATAGCATTGATAATAAGTTAGCAGAATAATTTATGGATTTTCGAATCTAAAAATAAATCAAACTTTTGCTTCCCCAGTTCATTTTTATGTTTTGCTCATTTGTTTAATTTTCTAATGTTTTCTATTGATCTCTAATATTTTACTTCAGTAAAAAACAACCAATAATTTGGTTTTTTTTTCTCTTTCTTTTTCAGAAGCAACAAGAAGAACAAAAAAATATTTTGAAATCCCAGAAAAAAATAAAAAAACAAAAATATCTTATATTTTAATGTACAATTTATCTGTTATTTATTTTTCTTTTCCTTTTTTCTTCATACAAATCAACAAACAAATTGTCGTTCCTTTCATAATTAAACAATAGTTATTAATGAAAATATCGAAAAAAAAAAAAAGAAAGAGTGAAGTTTTAGTCTTTCTAAAATAATGAAATGAATCAATAAATAGTGAAAATAATTTCCTCACCAAAAAAAAAGAAGTAAAAAACTTTTTAAAGTTTATATTATTATAGAAATTTGATTTTATATTTAATCAGTAAATATATGTTATTTCGGAATACTTTTTAATTAGTAAAGTAATCTATGAAGTAAGTAATATGTTATTATTTTGAAAGAGATAACTGGCAGGGAAAGTTCAACTCAAAAATGAAATCATCATTCATTATAGCATTAAACGATGACAACTTTTAAACAGTGGTTGTACTGATCCGGAAAGACAATAACTCTATGGATCAGCGGTATAATTCATTGCTGCCAAGAGAACAATGGTCCTCTTCTACCGATTTTATAATGTCCTGTATCGGATATGCCATTGGTCTCGGTAATGTCTGGCGATTTCCATATTTATGCTATCAAAATGGTGGTGGTCCGTTTTTTTCTGTTTTTTTTTATCTATTATATTCATATAAAATCTTACAATCAACTGTTAAAACTTTGAAAAAACTCAGATTCACTGTTGTTAGTGCGATTGACAACAGTTTAATGATAGCGTATTTATATGGCACTAATAGATGGCATGATGGAGATGCATATCCAATAAAGCATAAAGCATCAAATCAATGAGATCTATTTTATCAGATCAGAGATATAAAGAACACTAATTTCAAGACCAGTAAAAAATTTTAATTCTGCAAAATACGATGTATTATTGATCAAGCAGTCATCCGTCAGGAATGTTAAGGAAACTAACACAATTTTAAATTTCCGTTTAACTTTGTTTATTGCCAAGTTAAATGGAAGAAGAAAAAAGGAAATGTTAAATCAAATAATTCAATTAAAAGGTAAAAAACGCCTATTTATATATGTAGAACAACTGAATTTAAAATTATTTATTTTTTATTGAGCAACTAAACTAAAAGATCAAAATTATTTTAAATAACCGATAAGAATTGCAGTTATTCTTTGCTAGAATATTATCTATTTTCTTTTTTTTTCCTATTAATTTTGATCTTTTAGGAGCATTTCTAATACCATATGTGATTTCTCTTATATTTTGTGGTGCACCCCTTTTCATATTGGAGACAACATGGGGACAGCTATTGAGTATTGGTGGACTCGGAATGTTTAAAATTTGTCCAATTTTCAAAGTAATGATTTTTACCTTTAGTCTGAAATTTTTATATATTTAACTTTTGTCATTATTTAATTTTTTTCTTATCATTAATATAACATATTTAATAGGGTGTTGGAATAGCCGCTGCAGTGATGGCATTTTGGCTCAACATTTATTACATTGTAGTTCTAAGTTGGGCAATGTGCTATCTATGGGAATCAATTCGATTGGATTCAAATGTTCCATGGCGAAATTGTGATCATCAGTAAATTAAACTGATAACATTTTCTCAATTTCTTTTTTTGTCTCAAAAATTTTTATTCGAATATTTTTAGAAGGCAGAAATTATTAATATTATTTTCTCAATTTGTAATACCAGTAATACAAATAATTGTTATAAAAATGTTGGAGGAATAAAATTGATTGGAAAGTTAAATTATTTGATTGATAAACTTGTAAGAATTCAATTAGTGACTAAAAATTGATAAAATGAATTGACAAAATTTCAGGTGGAACACTCCTCGATGTCGCAGTGAATACGAACCACTAACTTGTGATAATAACAGAACAATTGCGAAGTATTTCAATGTGCAGGTTCAATAAAAACGATGTCTTTTTTCCTATATTACTTCCTATTAATTTTGAGATTTTGGGTAAATAGATACTAAGGAATATTCAAAGAAAAGAAGAAGAAGGAAAAAAAAAAAGAATATCCTAAGAAAAAGTTTTGTGTGAAAAAAAAAAAATTGAAAGAGGAAAAATTTCCAAAACAGAATTGTGAAATTCGATAAATGACTTAAAATGAAAATTTATGTAAAAAATTTGACATTTTTAAGATATTAACAAATGATCATTTGAATGAATACCGTAAACAATTCTTCGTTGGTTCAAAATCAAATTGGACTATTTGTGGTGGAGATGATTTGAATGTACAATCACCTGTCAAAGAATTTTGGAAGTTTGTTTACACTTCATTAAATTAAATAAATGTCTTTTTCATTGCTCTTTTTTATGCAGTAGTCCTTATACCAAATTTTATTTCAAAAAAAGAAATAAAATGTGTTCCAGCTATCAAGTGCTTGGTATCAGTTCGGGAATCGAGGAACCAGGAGGATTACGTTGGGATCTTGCATTCTTTTTATTAATCGCTTGGACAATATGCTATCTGTGCATCTTCAAGGGTGTTCGATGGACCGGAAAAGTTCATTTCATTAAATTAAACTTAAGAATTTCTTTTCTTTTCTGTTCTTTACCAAATGTAATAACTCGTTATGCATCAGAATTTACTACACTGCTATAGAAAAAAAGATAATGGTAAATGTATTACAATCTAAATATGCAGCGGAAACTTTAATTTATTATTGTTGTATGATAAATGATAAGTTATCAATGCTGTTAGTTGCAGATTGTTTATCTCACTGCATCATTTCCATATATAATGCTTATTTGTTTGTTGATACGTGGATTAACATTGCCAGGAGCAAGTTTGGGTCTCGAATTCTATTTGAAACCAAATTTTGAGAAGCTTTTTGAGAGTAAAGTATGGGTGGATGCAGTAACACAAGTTTTCTTCTCGTATGGCCTTGGCCTAGGCGCTCTTGTTGCACTTGGTAGTTACAATTCGTATCATAATAACATCTACAGGTAAATAAATATGCAATCTTTATTGTAGCATTATTGTTAAATTATCTTTTTTGCCAAAATAAATCTTTTTTTAGAAAATTTTTATGAAATTTACAGGCAAGCATTGACAATATGCTTTGTAAATAGTGCTACAAGCGTTTTTGCTGGTTTCGTTATCTTTTCATTCATTGGCTTTATGGCTGTTGAACAAGGCAAACCTGTTGATGAGGCAAATATTGAAATCTTATTTAACTTATAAATTTAGCTAAAATTTAGTGAAAATTTATTAATTAAGACTTTTGCTTCAATAACTGATAAATGGTAAATAATAAGCAAAAAGAATTTTCACTGGAAAATTTTTAATGAATTTTGAAAGTTTATATCTTAAATGGATTCAAACTTTAATTGAACTTAAAAACTTTAGATTTTGATTAATCCTAAAAGTTAAATTTTACAAGATTTTGTGAAATTTTTGAGCAAAAATGCTTTTAGGTAGCACAGTCTGGTCCAGGTCTCCTTTTTCTGGCTTATCCATCCGGAATCTTGCAGCTACCATATACAAATGTTTGGTCCATCCTGTTCTTTACAATGGTTTTATTCTTGGGCATTGATTCACAAGCAAGTTTTTTTCTTTTTTTGTAGCAATTTAATTTAACAGCTATTATTTCAGAAATAGAATCAAATCATTTGCAAGGGCAGCTTTTTCACTTGCACTATGTTTTATAAAAAACTAATTAAATGTACTTATTTCTGGGACAGATGGTTACTAAATAAACCATTTAATATTTCATCACGCACTATATTTATGCTTATTTTATTTATAAATACTTTTCATTGAATCATCTAATTTAGTGTTCAAATTTGTTAATAAAATCTTCTGTTCAAATTTAATAAAAGAAAAAAGTAAATGTCATTTTCCTTTTTTTTTAATGGTCGTTTTTTAACAAAATGTATATTTTCAAGAATTTATAGCGCAAGTGTCGCAGCTATGCGCATGAGATGATGCATGAGATGAATAAAAAAATATATATATTTAGTTTTGTACTATGGAAGGCTTTTTCACGGCAGTGATTGATGAGTTTCCGCATCTGATACATGGCAAGAAGTATGGCCGTGAATTTTTCGTACTCGGAATTTGCATTATAAGCTACTTATGTGGCTTAAGTACTGTTACAAAAGTAAGTTTAGCCTAAAAAGTCTGAGAAATTTCAAAAAAAAAGTGTATGGATTTGCTTATTCTTTCACAAAAATATAGGAATCAAATTAATTTATTTAAGATATAAATTGATTTTTATTGGTATATCACTGATATTAGTTTTTTTTTTTATGTAATTCTTTCAAAGATAAAAAAAAGTTTGAAAAAATGCTTGCAGGAACGAAACGATATTGATGTTTGTGATTATTTGCACATTTTATGACAGTAAAATCAAATTATCAGATTCAATTAAAGATTAAAAAAGTGTTTAATCAGAACTTCCCTTCTAATTATCTATTTATTTGTTAGAATTCGAAAATTTTCAGGGCGGTTTTTATGTATTTCAGTTGTTTGATTTTTATGCAGCATCCGGTTGGGCGCTTCTATGGCTTCTATTCTTCGAATGTATTGCCATTTCTTGGTCTGTTGGTATGTATTAGCTCTCCATTATTTTAAAAACTTAGTGAATGAAGTTGGTCTAGTTAATGAATAGTAAATAGGTATGGCCAATATATTTTCAATACTTCGCAGATAAGTTTAACCAGTACATTTTCAGTAATTTGTAGATAACAGTAATTCTGTAATCAAAAAGCACACTAGAAAATCAAAAATTAAATTTCATTGATTTTTGGCTTATTTAATTCAAAAAGATTTAATTCACAAATTCTAAAATTAAGATGAGGTCAAGGGTCCTTTTTTTCTACTAAAAGCTCTAGGTGCAATTTATATCAGTTCCTATATATCCTCTTCATTCCAGGGCATATCAAATTATCATATTTTTCATCAAAGTTGAATCGTAAAGCTATTTTATCACTATGCAAAATGACAAGTGTATCGAGACTTAATTTATCCAGACTTTGTTTCTTTTAGGTATCGATCAGTGGTATGAATATATCAGATCAATGGTAGGTTATTATCCGAGTCGATGGTGGAAATTTTGTTGGGTTTTTGCAACTCCCGTTGTGTGTATGGTTAGTATTGTTTTGCGTCTGCCAATGCGGAATACAATTTTAAATTTTATTCTAAATGTCCTAAATTTCATCAATCATTAATTGATCGTAATATATTAAAATTTTTTATCGAAATTGAGTTATAAAGCTATATAATCACAAATGGCTATCTTGTAAGATTGGCATTTTTAAAAAGATTATATAGCTGAAATTTATTGGGTAATTGTAACTAGGATTTGTAATTGATTGGTATTTAGGTCTTCAGCTTATCTATTTAATAGATTATTTTGTTTCAGTCAATTTATCCGAATCGATTAATGGAAGATAGTCTATCATATATCATAAGATTTAATTTTAAAATCATATCGTTTGCAGAGTGTAATGCTTTTTGGATTAGCAAAATATGAACCACTGCGAATAGATGCATACAATTATGATTACCCATTATGGGGTCATATATTTGGATGGTTTCTTTCCCTTTCATCCATGCTTTGCATTCCAGTTTACGGCATCTATTTATGGACTATAACCGATGGAACTACTTCACAAGTACATTCTGTCATATCGCATTTACTCGCTAGCTTTATCAGTATCTTCAGCTTTTTCAAGCTGTCTTGCTATAGATTGTATAATCTATCTTTTCTAATTATATTTAAGCTTATAACTTTCATCTTTTCATCTATTAATAATATCTACTACTTGTCACTTATAAAGTAATTCATTATTTGTTTTATAATTATTATTTTGTTTTCTATGGTTTTAATGGGATTAATTTGTTTCAGAGAGTTAAAAAGCTATTTCGGCCAAAAATACAAATTGAATTAGATGGTAATGTTGGACAAGAACTAACGGAGCGTGAAGAGTAATTCTTATTGTTGAGAAAAATGATAACGTGTAATTTTCATTCTTTACGAACTTTTACTTCACTTCCAAATTAACGCTTTAATAGCTTTTAGGAACTTAAAATAGAGTATCAGTTAAAGCTTTCATCTATACTTAACTGATAACTAATTAGCATAATGATAAGATGCCATCAAATGTAAAACTTGGAGCAGAAAAAACAAAGATACAAGAAGTAACATTTTTGAAATGGAAAGGACAAATGAAATGTTTGCATTTATTATCACATAGTTAATTGGTTGTTTCATTTTTTGCGATATGATCTTTATCTGAGGAAATTTCTCAGAAATCAAGTGAAAATTATTGTTATGAACAAATATTAAGTAATTCTTTTACAAAATTCAATTTCGATGCCTCAATGAATACGATTAATTAGCATTTTCACATATCCTGATTATGTTGCTTAGTTTATGCTATGTAAATGAACGATCAATTGTTTCAATCGATTAGCAGTACTTAGGTGGGTGTAGTTAGCTGCCAAAAATTATTACTGAGAAGGGGAAAAAATGGAAAGAATGAATATTAATGTTATATGCATTGCACTTATAAGCATTAAACATTTAATTATGCAAATCAAATTTATGGAAACATTAAAGTTCAGTGATGGAAAATCTTCATTTTGGGGTGAATTCTTGAATGAAAAATAAAAATAAAGGATAGAATGCTTAACTGTATTTTCAACTGATCTTTGTAAAGATATGATTTATAATTTTTTAGAATTTTATTCGGCGTTTTTCACAAAAAATCCTTGATGAACAGTATTTCATTTGGTAGATTGAAGCTCTCATTTGGTGATTTTTAGCTAGTTATAATTAAATTTATGATAATTATTCAAGTTTGAACATTATATGATTTGAGCTTTCACCTTTATGAACATCGTTTTTTTGCTAGTCAATCGTATGGTAAATCTTCCACTTATTACTACTCGATAATTTGATAAACTATGCCGCATATCTACAATTAAACCATTTGGTGTTAAATTATCGATAATGTCACCTGAAGAAATACATTAGTCAAAAAAAATAAATAAATAAATAAATAAAATATACGAATTTAATATGAAAATAAAAACACTGTAACTTATTACATTATCAAGCAGTAGTACGACTTTTTCGGCGAATAACGATTAATTTTTGAATAGCAAAATTTTGGTCTTCTATATTGCGACTTCTGAGATCTGATTAAAGGAAAATTTCATTTCAATAGATCTGTAAAATTACCTTTTTATAATATGTTTATAATGAACAGTTACTCATTTAAAGTTTACATTTTTAAAATTAGACATGAGAGAATTTTCCTTCCTAGCTTACATAGATAATGTAAAATCCCAAGTTTACTTATTATTTAATTGGAATATTTTGGAATACATTAAACAAGATACTTCCATTGAAAAGATTGTTTCATTGTAGTAAAGTAAGACAATGCTATTTTTCATTAATTTTTCAAGCGTTTATGTGACATAATCATTAAATGTTCATTACAACCAAATTCTCAATGAAAAAATTTTTATCGTTAAGAAAAGAATAGGGTCAAATTTTTTTAAAAGGTGATTTGACCCTAGGCGAAAAATACAAGAGCTGGAAAGGATATTTTTGGATTTTAGTTTTTTTTTTTTTGGTTTTTAATAAAAGCTAAATAAGATCAAATGAATGAATATTTTCAATTATTATATTCCTATCTTTTTTGTTTTAACAGAAATTTTTTCAAAAGCTTACGATATTAAATAATTGTTGTTTAGCTCTTGATTGCATTCCATCCCACTTTTTTTTCGTCCATTTTTATTTCTTTTTAACTTCTATTTCACCTTTTTTTAATGAAAAAATTTATTTCATCTTGTTAGAAAATAATTTAACTCCATAAAATTTTTCATTTCAAATATTTACAACAAATATTATTTCACATAAAAAAAAAACGACTGAAAGATTAGTCTTTTTGTTCGAGTTTAATTTTAAACTTCAAACAAATGATTCATTCATTATTTTTTTTTCATGCTTGCTATATATTCAATCATTTCTGTTCATTACTAAAAAAACAGTTTTTTTCTTGATATGATTGATTATTGTCATGAAATAAACAAAAACTTGAAAGTGCATAAACTTCCTCAATGATTTATCATTTTAACTTGTTTATAATTTGTGGCATATATACATTCGATTAAACGAATTTTGCTAACTTTTACATATTTTGTTAAATAATTTGATGTATCACTAATAGAATATTCAAATAGTTGTTTATGCTTATTTCTTTGTTTTTTTTTCCTTTTTTTAAGCGAAAATGTAGCACTTAATAAGTATTACTGAGTGATTAATTAGTAATATCAAAATTAACTGGTAATACAATTTGAAATTAATTAACTGATTAATTTTGATTGATTTATAAAAAACAAATCACAACTTTCCTTCTTTAAAAAAGAAATCTTTACAAATAAACATTTGTCGTAACTTGGCAAAACTTTTCAAAAAAAAAAAAATGTCCATTTGTAATTTTTTTAAAACAAAAGTTACCTTTTGTTTGAAGAAAATAAAACATAAAATTGATATATATATATATATATATATATATAAGCAAACTAATACATACATATATATCCACGCAATTACTATATCTCTTGTTTTTCACTCATATTGGCGATTTTTTCATAATTAAAGTTAATTTTTAAAAATGCAAACAAATATGAATATAAATTAATGACTAATTGAATTTCTTTATTTCTTTTAACTTTGATAACTTTTTCCCATCTTTTTTACCTTTTTTTGATTTCACAAAAGTTCATGTCATATTTCAACTTTTACAGTCAAGTTATTTATTACTTACATGTAAGATACTATCATTTCCCTTTTCTTTTCGATTTTAAAAATTTTCGTTGTGATTTTTAGAATGAATGAATTTTAAAATGCAGTGTCAATTTTTGAAGAAATTATGATAATTGTGCTAGTAAATTTGTACTTATTCCTAACAAAATTTATATTTTCGTTTTTCTCCTTTTTTAAATTTCTCATTCATACTCAATAAAATTGATCATCAGTTGACTGATCAAAATTATTTATTATAGTTTATTCAATCATATTAAACTTTTTTGTGTGTGAAAACTTTTTGTGAATAACTTATATTAAACTATTAACATAAGTTGAATTCACAAGTAAGGCAAAGGAAGCTAAAGCTTTGAAAATTGATACTAATGCTAAATTTCTTAAAATTTAATATCTCGATAAGAGATAAAGTTGTTCAAATTATAATTGTTTTTCAAATGAATCATTCTGTCTTCTCAAATACAAACTTCCATCTGTCCAAAACATTTATTCATTATTATTCAAATATTATGGCTTAGAATAAACTGTTATGCGCGACGTGCACACACACACACACACACACACACACACACATACACACACACACACACACACATACACACACACACACACACACACATACACACACACACACACACACACATACACACATATACAAATACACGAATGACCTGTATTAAAGAAAGCGAGAAAATAGAAAGAGGAAGATTATGGTTCAACAATTATCAGTCATGTCCCTTGGCTCCTATGATAATTCGCTAATTTAAATTATTCAGCGTATAAATCAGTAATTAAATTTGGCCAACAGTGATTTATATTTTCTTGTGTTTTTGAAAGTTTGTATTTTGTATGTTAATATGTATATATATTTTACACTTTTAAATGTGTTTTACGTACGTATATTTACATTTTTAATTTATGTTTTTTTTTTTTCCTTTTTTTCTGAAAGTTCAGGAATTTTTGATCAATGATTCTAAATAACAACATATGAAGTTAAGTAAAAAATTAATTTCATAAAACTTTTAGTTGCTGATGTTTCAATTAATAATACTCATAATTAATTAACAGTGTGATAATAGGATGGATAAAAATGACAACTAAAATTAGTGATAACAGTAAACATTTTAAATGCTGTTTGTCCAAGGGTTTCTTCTAATTACAAAAATCAATCAATTTTCAGGTGATCATGCCATCACGAACATTGTTTTGCCGGAAATGTGAAGGTCATGGACGACAGATTGTGTTGAAAGGTAACGTTGGTCCATATAATGACTGTCACTGCAAAACTGTAATTGTTATACCTACATTTGTAATAATTTAGCCATTCAATTTGAAATTTTTGAATTTTTAAATTCTTTCGATTTGTTTACAGAAATATGTGACGAAATTATTTAACATATATATATATTTTTTAAAGTAAGGGTGTCATATAAACGAATCTTTTCGATGAAAAAAATTCTAACTTCGAATATTTTCTCTAAACATTAATTAAAGAAATTAATCACAAAAGATATGCGTAGTAGTAAAGTAAATTCGATTAAGATATCATTAAATTTTTCCGGTCTGATAGCTGTTAAGCTTCTTTTTTTTTCCTTTGGGATGATTAAATAAAAATATAGTAGATCTAAATTTGTTTAAATTTTTTTTAATGTGCGTGCAAGCGCAATTATACGACGATATCGATCACGCAGTAGTAATTGTAGTTTAGTGTTGAAATCAGTGCAATTCCAAAATGGCAATATTAGGCTACGTGTTTACCCGAAATTTATTGATGGTATAAAATTTTCAATAAAATGTCTATTTATTGAATCATTTTTTATATAAAATATTGCAAGTAAGAATACATATATGATGTTAAAAAAAACCCGTCGAACAAATTTTTCAATGAATATTTAATCACTTGGTAATAAAATTATGATGTTCATATGATAAATATTTAGCATGAAGTGAAATGAACACATTCACTAAATTCAAATTTATTTAATTTACAAATTAAATTTTTTAAAAATTTTTTTAAAATTACTTCAGATTGCGAATGTGTTTCAATTCCAACTGATTACATTAACAATAATTTAGTAAATTCCATCGTATTTATGCAATTTTAATTTTCTACAATATATTCACAAAGAAATTCATCAGCTATTCTTTTTCCTCAT